ACACGAAATTATGAATGAGCATACACCTGCGGGGGCACGGAAAGGGGAGAGAGGTCTGTTTGGGAGGCCATAATTTTTGTTGACCGCTATTATAGTTTGTTTGATTTATTTTTGCTATTTTCTCTGGCTTAAGTTTATTCACTATTTTTTTCTGTATAATCACCACGCATTTTTTGGCCTATGACAGCTGCGTTTATTATTAATTAAATCAATGTCATCGCAACTGGATCCAGCCTTCGTTTGTTTTACTAATTTAGCGCGTCATACAATTTTACCGGACCCAGCTCGCCTCTCCGCGGCTTTAGACAACAGGCAGCCGCTATATTTGTCAACAAAAAAGGCAATCCTTGAAGAGCATCAAAGCGTGTCTCCACAAACACATCGCGCATCTAAACTTCGAGACCGTGGTGAAGTTGGTTGGATATTGGATATTCGGCAGATATTCAGAGAGGGGAAGTGAGGAGTTCGTCAGCCGGCCTGAGAGTAGCACGGAGCGGACATGTACTCGCGCGAGTCTTCGCCTACATTTAGGGACCGTCAACATTTTATCCTACTCTTCACTTACATGAAAGTGGATATAAAAAAAGACTTTAATGCCTAAATAACACAATAAATTCATATATACTTTTAAAAAATGAAAAAGGATGATTATGACACAGAGCAAAATAGATGTAATTGTAATGTAAAAGTTCTAAATCACTTTGATCATTATAGGTTACAGTAAAATATAATATTATTCAATAGCTTTGGAAAATGTTGACCCTGTGACCCCAAAACACTTTAAAATAACAGGACTACCTGTAGGCTATAGATCTAAGGCCAATATCTCAATATTTTTTTTGTTTAAAATGCCAGTTTTTTTTTAATAGCTTTTAGGGAATTTGACCCACGTACTCCAAACCACTCTTAAATAACACTACTGCCTCTGGGCTATGGGGCTCAGGCCTTAATTGTTCTTAAAAGCTTTTTAAATTATACTTTGGTTAAAAATACCAGTGATATCTGTGTAGGATTTTGAATTGTATGAGTTGGAGGTTGGAGTTGGTGGTCATTGAATACATATTTTTGCAGATTTGGGTCCAGAAGTTGGCACTGGGAGTAAATGCTAAATCTTGTTGCCACTTTGCAGTTGGAAGAGATTGTGTATTATCTGATTTGGTGATTATTTTGTATATTTTGGTGTTCAGTTTTTTGGGGGGAATATTTATGAAATCCGCAATTGTATCATGTAGGCCGAAATGTATTGTTTGGATGTTGATTTTTTTTTGGATTGCTGATTTTAGTTGTAAGTATTCGAGGAAGCATTTACTCCCAATGCCATACTCCTGGGCCAACTGTGTAAGTGGTTTTAAACTGTCATTTGTGAGAATGTGATTGAGGTGAGTTATACCTTTATCTGCCCATGAATGGAAGTACAGAGGTTTATTATTGCTTGTGAATTCTGGGTTGTGCCAAATTGGGGAGCGGATGGATGGGGCAAGGGGGGTGTTTGTTAAATCGTGGAGTTTCCACCAGGCTGTCAGAGCTGCCGATATCGTTGGTGTTTTGAAAAGTGGGTATTTCTTTATTGATTGATTAAGGAAGGGTAGGTCTGAGAGATTGATGTTATTGCAAAGTGATTGTTCAGTGTCCATCCAGATTGAGTCAGAAGTGTTTGAGTGGATCCATTTGTGTATGTACTGTAAATGATTAGCTAATGAATAGTGGTAAAAATTTGGGGCATTGAGGCCTCCCTGTAGTTTTGGTTTCTGTAGTGTTGCGAGTTTGATACGGGGTGGTTTGTTTTTCCAGTAGAATTTGTTAATGGCAGAGTTGAGTGATTTAAACCAGGTTTGAGTGGGTTGAACAGGGGTCATTGAGAGTATGTAGTTGATTTTGGGGAGTATTGACATTTTAACCAAAGAGATTCTGACTGTGATTGAAATGGGGAGATTCATCCAGCGTTGTAAATCTTCTTCTAATTGTTTGAGTAAGGGGGAGAAGTTGAGAGAGAACAGCTCTGAAAGCCTGGAGGAAACCTTAATTCCCAGGTAAGTGATGTGGTTTGAAGAGAGTAGGACAGGAGGTGTGATGGCTGCAACATCCCAACTGTTTGACTGTAGGGGGAGAATTGAGGATTTACTCCAGTTGATTGAATATTGTGAGAGTTTGGAAAATGATTTGATGAGGTTTATTGTGTGGTGTAATGATGAAGGTGGGTTGTGTAAAAAGAGGAGGATATCATCTGCATACAGGCTGATTTTGTGTTCGATTGATTGTGGTTGGAATCCTTTGATTTGGTTATTTTGGCGAATTGCTGCTGCAAGTGGTTCTAAGAAGATTAGAAATAAAGATGGAGAGAGTGGACATCCTTGGCAGTTTCCGCGGTGAAGAATGAAGGGATGTGAAGTTCTACCGTTGGTGATGACAGTGGCAGTAGGTGAGGTGTAAAGCATTTTTATCCAGTTGACAAACGACCCCCCGAAGCCAAATCTCTCCAGTGTGGCAAACAGGAAGGTCCAGTCGACCCTGTCGAAAGCCTTTTCTGCGTCCAAGGATGCAATGATGGTTTTTTCCTGTTGTAGAGTTGACCAGTGAATTAAATTGAACAGCCTACGAGTATTGTCTGATGAGTGTCGTCCTTTAATGAAGCCAGTTTGGTAGGGATGAATGATCGTTGGGATTACTTTTTCTATTCGGAGGGCAAGGGTTTTTGATATGATTTTTGTATCGACATTGATAAGTGAGATGGGCCTGTAACTGGAGGGCAGTGTAGGGTCTTTGTTGGGTTTGAGGATGAGGGAGATTGTGGCAGAGTTCATGTGGGTTTGCAGCTTACTGATCTGTTCTGATTCCTGTAGCATACGCATGAATAGCGGGGAGAGTGTGGGCCAAAAATGTTTGTAGAACTCAGCAGGGAAGCCGTCGGGTCCAGGGGATTTATTGTTGGGCATAGCTTTAAGTGCTGTGCAGAGATCAAATTCTGTAATTGGTGAGTTTTAACCTGATATCTGGTTAGCTGAGAGAATGGGTAGGTTGATATTGTTTAGAAATGTGTGGATATTGTTTATATCTGGGTCAGAGTCAGAGGAATACAGTTTTCTGTAGTAATTTTCGAAGGTTTCATTTATTCCTTTTTGTGACGTTATATGCTCCCCTGCTGAGTTCTTAATGATGGGGATTGATGTTTTTTCTTTATTCAATTTGATCTGGTTGGCCAAGTATTTTCCTGATTTATTGTTGTGTTGAAAATTTTCTTGTCGGAGTCTGTGGATAAGAAATTGAGTTCGTTTATTTATTATTTCATTTAATTTTAGTTTCAATACTTTTATCTCTTTTTCCTGGTTCTCTGTTGGGTTGATCATGTTCGTTTGTTCCAGTGTGTTTATATCATGTTCTAACTTGTTTTCTAATTCTTTTTCTTTTCTAGCTTTGTGGACAGAGAACGAAATAATTCGGCCTGTTAGAACTGCCTTTCCTGTTTGCCACAGGAGTGAGGGTGAAGTTCCCGGGGAGTCGTTGGTCTCTGTAAAGGATGCCCACTCTCTTTTGAAAAAATTGTCAAAGTTTGCGTCTGCTAAGAGGGATGTGTTGAAACGCCATCTTGTTGGCTGTTTGGGGTGAGGTGAGAAGTTCCAGGAAATTGCTAGTGGGGCATGGTCACTAATGGTTATTGGGTGGATATGTTGTTCTGAGATTTCTGCCATAATTGAGTTACTGTTTAGGATGAAGTCAATGCGTGAATATGAGTGATGGACTGGTGAGAAGAAAGTGTATTGTTTTTTTGTGGGGTTTTTTAGTCGCCAGCTATCGCCAAGGCCGAAATCTTTCATGAATTGTTTGATGGTTTCTGTAGATTGCCAGGGCCTTTTGACTGTATTGTTTGATTTGTCCATGGAGGGATCGAGAACTGTGTTGAAATCACCAGCTAGTATGATTGGGCAGTTTGAGAAGTGTTGGATTTGTGTGAAAAGGGTTTGAAAAAATATTGGGTCATCTGTGTTTGGACCGTATACGTTACCGATTGTGAGGGGTGTATTGTTGATGGAGATGTTTATTATTATGTAGCGCCCCTCTGGATCTGCTATGGTACCGTGATGGGTAAATGATATTTTTTTATGGATTAGTATACAGACCCCTCTCTGTTTGCTATTGAGATGAGCTGTGAATAATTGGTTATACTGTGGGGATTTTATATTGTTGAACGTTGAGTTTGTAGCATGTGTTTCTTGTAATAGGCAAATGTCCGCTTTGAGCTTGGATAAATGGTCTAAAATCTTTGTTTTTTTCCTCTGATTACCTAAACCTCTAATGTTCCATGACACTAATTTGACAGTTCCCATTCTACATTCTGTTATAATTATGTGGTTGGTATGTGGGGTTTGTGTGGGCGTATGTGTGAGTGTGTGTGTTTGTAAGTGTGTTGACTTTGATGGGGAGCCTCATGTTTGGGTGTGGTGGGGGGCAGAGAGAGAGAGGATGTGTGAGTCATTGCGAGCGTTTGTAGTGAGAGGGAGAGGAAGTGGGGGGGGGGGAATAAAAAGTAATAATAATAATAATAACAATAGTAACAATAAAGAAAGTAAATAACCAGGATAATAAACTGGGGACCAAAATAGGGAGATTTTACAAATACAAAATCAAATAACAATTCGTATTCGGTAGCTCGGGATTTGCGTCCGAAATCACACTTGAAGGCAGTTGGGAGGTTTACCCTCCCCCCGTGGCCGCAAAAGAGAAAATATTAAGAGATAATAACAGTGGGGAGAATACTAAATAATAATAGCATTGATATTATTATTATTAATAACATTATTAATAATAGGGTTAGGGTTAGGGGTGATAATAATAATAATAACAACAACAATACTTAAAAACCGATGTGGCTAAGGAGTCATATAGGGGAGGGAAGACAGGAAAGTGAATAATCGCGTAACAAAGGAATAATTTGATCATTACAAAAATACAACTACTGGAGTCGTTCTGATGACGTCGTCTTTGTGGGACAGTGTTTACAATGGTCAGCTCTGGAGCGTTGGTGCAGCGTGCGCGCTGTTGCCACCGGTGAGCCAATAAGTTATTTGAGAGTTACGATAAAGTGTACCTTCGATGTAGAGTTTATCCTTCGATAGCCTGACCTTCTTTCCCGCGGATCTTGCCTCAAAGAAAGCCGGCTGGAGCAGCTTGCGCCTCCGCATGACCTCCGGGGGAAACTGGTTGCTTAGGGCAAGCTTCGACCCTTTGAGCTGTTTGGCATTCCCCATGATCATGGATTTATGCCTGGGGTCCAGGAGTTTGGCCACGATGGGACGACTTCGGGATTCCCCCTCGCGCTGGGGTCCTAGGCGGTGTGCTCTTGCAAACTGGATATGTCGAATCGCGCTATCCTCCAGCTTGAGGTTGGATTTGAGGAAGGATTTCACAATGTTTTCTGTCGTTTGGTAAGTTTCTTTTGGTTCTTCGGGTAATCCATGTATAATAATATTGTCTCGCATGCTTCTGCATTGTAGATCGAGGATGTTGTTTTGAACGGATCTTGATTCATGTTGTAAATTTGCTGTCAAACTCTTGAGATTGATCACCACTGCATGAAAAGTGTGATTTTCGTCTCTTTTCGGCCCTGTATATTACTGTGAAACTTCTGGGATTCGGCTGTTGACGGTAGTTTGTTGTCCCCTCCTCCCTCCTCCACAGGAGGCTTTAACATGTAAATGGAAATGCTGTGAGCTATACAAATGCTAATCAGGGTTGAGGGGGAGCACAACTTTGCGCCATGCTACTTTCAGTCAGTCTGCAGCATGGATCAGGTCAGCACACCGTAGACCCGGATTTTGTAAATGCTCAAACTGTTTACACACACACACACACACACACGCACACGCACACGCACACGCACACGCACACACACACACACATCAGATACATATTTGATCATGATTGATTATAGCTTGTCATGTCAAAATCAATTAAATAAATCTAATAGGACAAAAGACATGTTGAAAGTGTAAGTGCTCATCTCATGTATGTACAGTACAGACCAAGAGTTTGGATTTTGTATTTTTATTCATGACTATGAACCTTGTAGATTCACACTGAAGGCATCAAAACTGAATTATGTATGAAAAAGTATGAACCAACTGAAAAGATGTGTTTTCTATTCTCGGTTCAAATTATATATATATATATATATATATATATATATATATATATATATATATATATATATATACTAGGGCTGTATACTAAAGGGACTTTAACCCCGAGACTTCTCAAAGGGACTTTAACCCCGTGACTTTCTCAAAGGGACTTTAACCCCGTCAGGTAGCGAACCTGTTTTTAATCTAATCTGATCTATAGATACATGACATTTGGCAGACCTTAAAACAGACCATAATTTAGTTCACTCAATTAGCAGACTTTGAATAAACAGGTGTCCGCTCTTACCTTTTGTCGAACAGGGCCCAGGTACCGTCAAAAGTCCACCAAATATCAGCTTTTCCACGTCCAACCAGGTCTCCAGATCATGAACCAGCGCTCACTAGTACCGGGAACTAGCTTCCATCGGCAGAGACCAATCACCCGTCAAAAATCCCCGGAATGCGGACATGGGAAAACAATTTGAAACGCTAAGTCCAAAAAACAGGACACAAAAAAAATATAGTGAGACAGCGAAAAAGAGTCCCGGAGCCGGTCGCCTCTCCAGCCTGCTGGACCGCTCCCAGGCCCCAGACACTCTCAGCTCTCCCACGCCGAGAAAAAGAAACAAAGCAAACTCCCTCAAAACAATCCAGAGAATGGCACAAACCGAGCCGCGCATTCTCCACCAAATCTGTTAGGATTTAGGCAGAGAGAGACGGATCGTGGTGTGCCAAACTCTGGAAGTTTATTTAAGTTTCTCTCAAGTTCCACTAGTTTACTCTGTTTCTTTTCCTCAGACAGAATAAAGGCAGTACACAGTTTATATAGTCATTGTCACGTCACACATCGAAAGACATACGTGTCACAAAGAGACAGTCACATCATAGTCATAACATGGAGTCCTTGTAGAGTCCTTGTACAGTCCTGCACGTAGGCCATATTGCTATCTAATACTAATACTCGGTTCAAAATTATATAATATATATATATATATATATATATATATATATATATATATATATATATACTAGGGCTGTCAAACGATTCATTTTTTTTAGTTGATTAATCGCATAGTAATGGTGAGTTAGCTCACGATTAATTGCATGTTTAACATTCTATTTCAAATCCACTCCAATTGAAGTTAAATGAGATTATCAAATATAATTACCAGTGTTGGGTAAGTCACTTTGAAAAAGTAATTAGTTATAGTTACTAGTTACTTCTTCCAAAAAGTAATTGACTTACTAACTGAGTTACTCCACTATAAAAGTAACTAGTTAGCAGTAAAAGTAACTATTGCGTTACTTTTTCGTTTGTCGTGGTACCGAGCTTTAGCTGGCTGTAATTTAGGATAACTTCTAAGTAGATTAATTGTTGCAACAACCCCACCCTATTTTAGTATGATATGTTAGTTTAGGGAACTGTCCTGCAGGCAAACAGGTATAAGACAGGCCAAGGTGCCATTTAATTAAATTGCATTTATTTTTATCCATTGATCAAACAAACAGATTACAAAACTTGCAATTGAAAGAGACTATTTTAAAATAATTAGTTCCCAAAGACACACACGAGCAACACTCACGCCTGACAGTCAAGAACCAGGGAGAATACAGTGCGCAGAGCGCGCCTGACAGACAAGAACCAGGGAAAATACAGTACGCAGAGCGCGCCTGACAGACAAGAACCAGGGAGAATACAGTACGCAGAGCGCTGAGTATGTGAACGGAGCAATCGCTTGCTGCTGTTATTATAATAGCTAGATCCATGCTTGCAGCCCGTGCAAAGCTTGCACTCACTCACAGCCGCTAACAACAACCAGAGCGGCCACGGAGGAGGCCATCTCACACGCAGCATTCTGAGTGATATTCTTATGGATAAATGGGCGGGTCATCATGCGTTAAAAAAAATAACGCGTTAATAAAAAATGTAATTAACGTGAGTCAAAACGATAATTTTGACAGCCCTAATATATACACAAACGGTTGTTGGTGTTATCATCACTCTCTTTACACAACCAAAACATGGGGACTTCACAAACTGAATGCGCATTTCGCGCATGCGCAAAACGCAACGAAATACTTTGCCTGAAGTCGACGGTGGAGTCTCGTGGAACGTGAAGAGAGCACTTTTTTGAATGTACGGTAAGTGTTAAGACACGTTGTTCATTGTTATAAAGGTATAAAGCTAAAGAAGTGTGTTAAGAACGAGTATACATTCGACTATATTATCTTATAAAACTCGTGTGTTCGACCAGCTCAGCGGTGAATGCAGTGACTGTGGCCGTGTTCAGAGCCGCTCTCCCGGAGGCCTGAGAGAGCTCTGTCCGGCCTCTGGGAGTTTACTGAGGACAGCGGTGAATGTAGCTGTTAGTAGCTAACTGTAGCCATGTTCAGAGCCATATTCCCGGCCCTAACTACGCGGGCCGCCGCCGCAAGGAAGCTAGGAATCACATATATATGTGATATATATATCACATATGTGATTGCTCCGTGTGTGATAACTTTCTGTGAAGCATGGAGCTGCAGGAGCAGGGACGAGGCGCACAGAGCAGGAGAGAAGGCAAGCACGATTTGCGACTCACGGCACCGTCAGGGGTCGTGGCTCACGGTTATCAATTTAACTTTTTAGGGGTATCTGTGGATTATTAATGACACATTGTGGATCTGGAGGCATATATTTACAAGTAACCAGTATGTTACACACTCTTCATCATCTGGTATGTGTTTATATAGCTCTCCATGTTCGTTTACCACTGACTCAGGAGCTGTGAGTTGCGGCTCAGCAGTCAGAAGTCATGGCTCACGGTTAAAAATACCACAAATCTGTGCTTTTTAGGGGTATCTGGGAATTATTAGGGGCAACAGTGACTCAATTGGCAGAGCTTTGGTCTTTGGACCTAATGATCGTGGGGTCGTGCGCCCACAACCACCTGCTCCTTAACATTTGTTCAAGCTATGGCCTGGAGCATGACATTAAATATAATGCAGTGAAAAGTTTGGTTATGATCTGTAGAGCCAAGGAGGATAAGAAGACATCATATCCTGATTTTTATTTGTCTAATGCAAGGCTTCATGTTGCAAACAAAATAAAATATCTTGGGCATATATTGACAGAAGACTTGTCTGATGATGCTGACATAAACAGGCAATGTAGAACGTTGTATGCCCAGGCAAACACGCTGGCGCGTAAATTTGGCTTTTGTACGGACAAAGTGAAAATTATGTTGTTCAAATCATATTGTACACCTCTGTACACAGCGCACCTTTGGTCGAACTATAAAAAAGGAACTTTCCAAAGGTTGCAGGTGGCCTATAACGACGCTCTGCGTGTGCTTCTCAGGAGGCCGAGATGGACCAGTGCGAGTGAGATGTTTGTCACTGCTGGAATAAACACGCTGCAAGCCACACTGCGGACGCTTATGTACCGTTTCATATGCCGTTTGAATAAGTCTGTTAATACAGTAATTGGTTCATTGGTTGATGTCACCTGTAGTGCCATTCGCTATCAGTCGCTAATGTGGAGGCACTGGTATAGCTGTCTTTTTAAAGGGACTGTGTAATTTATTTGTTTGTAGTTTAATGTTGTTTGTGATGTCGCTGTCTTTTTTGGACCTTGAGTCCGTAATAAAGTTGAATTGAATTGAATTGAATTGAAATGTCAGTATTAGCAGCGCAGGTTTACAGTCATAGTGCAAGTGGTTGATTAAGTGATACAGGCCTAAATACAGATTATTACATGTATTTGCAGGGCTTATTTCATATTTTAATGAGAAATACTTTTTAGGGGTATTTATGAATTATTAATGTATCTGTATCATTTTCCATGTCCTCAGTGCCTCATACATACTTTCCCAGCTGATATGTGTTTGTATTACTCTATTGTTAACGAGACATAAGTCAGGACTCGTCTGCTGACACCAGGGGGCGCTGTCTAATCTCATGTTGAATCCTGCACGACGTTGGACATCTCGCTTGCAATTTAAATTTCACCAAAATATTGAGGTAAGTTATTTTGTTTCGTTTTTTGGAGTCTGTCTTTTAATCATTTTAACATTTTAAAGGGCATGACATTTAAACAGGAAAAAAAAAACTTGGTTGTAATTCTGTGGCTTCAAAGAATACACAAAACTTGCAGATACAGAGCAGAGTGTATACTCCATAGGACAAAAGATGAGGCAAGGTGTATAACACAGGTTTGGTCACATAAGAAATAAATAACTAAAAAACCACTGAGACATTATTATTTGTTATTTATTAATAATGCTAAAGGCATTTGAAAAAATACATACAATACACAAACAAACACAATTATATGCTCGAGGATCCAAGTCCACTGCGAGGAAAACGCTCCTAAAGGA